AAATATATACTTGACAATGACAGCCAAACAAATGCCGTTTTGGTTAAAAAACACAACAACAACAATAAAAAGCAGATAAAGTACTATAAAAGCACCAGGCAGCAGACAGAAAGCCATAATTGCTAGAAACTTCTCCCTCCCTTGGGCAAGGCACAGGGCAGAATAGTAAACCGTCCAGGTGCCTGAAAGAGAAGGAAGGCGGCAAAGGAATAGGTCAGGTCACAAGCTTTTGTTTTGTTTCTTAGCCTGGGATTAGACTAAGAATCACAAATAAGTCATTGCATTTATAAGGAAAAACCAAGGGGCTCATTGATCAGCTTAGCCCTTGTGGTGGCTGCAGGGGACAGTAGAGACCTGGAAGGGGAAGGACAGAGACAGCAACCTGGTGACGACTCCATGACTATTTTCTAGCCCCTGCCTACATCTGCCCAGGCAAGCTTTTGATTGCCACACTAAGCATCAAGGCATTGCATATAACATGTTCTTTTCATTACTCTATTCACTGCTGGTGTAAACAGAAAGGAGGATTCAGTAGTGCAACACTTTAGGAGGCTGAATGAGAGCCACATGTTTTGGTGGCCCCCTCAAGGGCTCCAGCAAATGGGGACTGTGACGTTGGGGAGAAAAAGGCCAGTGGGCCATTGCCTTCCACTCCTGAGACAGTACCAGCTCCACCTCCAGACGCCAATGGGAACACTGAGCCCATCGCCTTTTAAAGAAGTGCAGGAGGTCTTGACTCCTCCTATGAGAAGTCCCGGAAGCCCCAGTCAGTCTGGGTGGGGGTCCCCTGAAACTCAGAGCACAGTCCAGCTGCTGGCTCCTGTGCCTGGTGGGGAGAAGGTGGAGGGGCCGGCATGCCTGCCGCTGAGAAAGACTGATATAACACTCCAGCTGCACACCCCTGTTCTTCCATAGCCCTTCTCTCTCTCCCTAAAAGGAAATTAAAATGTGGGGCTCTGATCATTGATTTTTAAACAAGCTCCCCAATGTCATGGCCTCTGCTCTGTAAACTCCAAAGCTCTGATGGCCAAAGAAAGTAGGCGGTGGTGGAGCAGTAGGCAATGGTCAGGGCTAGATTTGTATTAATATCTAGGAGTGGGGTGGGGATATGGGTGGAGGGTGATCCAAGTAGAGCAAGTCTCAGGAAATCCCAGAGGTGAAGATTTGATGCACATCCCCCATCCTTGCCAAATAAAATACAAGTTAGAGATCATTGTTCACATTACAATCACAATGGGACATTTTAAACAGCTCGTTTTCTGAGTACATTCAAGACATAATTGAGTTTATTTTAAAAAATGAATTTCCCGGCTGGGTACGGTTGGTCACGCCTGTCATCCCAGCACTTTGGGAGGTCGAGGCGGGTGGATCACAATGGCAGGAGTTCAAGACCAGCCTGACTAATATGGTGAAACCTTGCCTCTACTAAAAATACAAAAATTAGCTGGGCGCAGTGGTGCGTGTCTGTAATCCCAGCTACTCAGGAGGCTGAGGCAGGAGAATCGCTTGAACCCGGGAGGCGGAGGTTGCAGTGAGCTGAGATCACACCACTGCACTCCAGCCTGGGTGACAGAGTGAGACTCGGTCTCAAAAGAAAAAAAAAGGATTTCCGGATTTCCCTGCAACTGCTCAGGGAATCCAGGTCAAATGCAGGTCTAATTCCAACTTCTCTACCCACTAGCCACAGGACTTCAGACAAGTCACTTCATCTCTCTGAGCCTCCTTTCTCTAGAGCTCTGGAGGTGCTGTGTGAGGCAGCACGAGACTTAAGACGCAGAAAACCTGACTTTTCATCCTGACTCTACCACTAAAGATGTGGCTGGCCTTGACCATCACTCTGTTATGTAAAACAAAGGGACAGCATATATTGGACTGTGAAGCCCCTTCAGATGCAGCTGAATTTACTTTCTGCCCAGAAAATCATTAACAAAGCTGATTCTGCCCCCAGTACCCATCAGAATGCAAGAGATCAGATCAGAAACCCAACTTACGATCACAGGTCAAATTCAATAGCTGTGGCTAAGAGACAAGACAAAGAGAGTAAGAGTGTCAAGGTGCAGTGCGCAGCTAAAATTTGAGTCACAAACAAACGAACTTTAAAGCCCCACTCCCTGAGAAAGGACATTTTCCTATGTTATATTCAGACCCCCAAGAGCAAATTCCAAGGCCATCTATAATAGTTGACCAACAAGATTTTGAAAATTCCCAGCCCTGAGGCTTGCTGTATCACCTACAATCAAAATCAACTTAGGAAGTTAATTTGAAAAGAGACTGAGTGATATTTCCATTTTGAAAGAGGAAGCAACACTGGCTACTTCTATGTGCAGCTCTATAGCCTCCTGGCAGAACATCAGATGTCGCATCCTGCTGAACAGGAGGGTGCTGACAGCAGGCTGAGTGGAGCTGCAGGCCAGTCCATGCTTGTCACAGTCTTCCCGGGGTGTGAGAGCAGACCCCTGTAGACGTTGACAAGGAGCGATTTCCTGCCTGGCAAGAGCAGGAGGTGCCCACATCTCTTCTTGGGAGGCAGTGTGATCTGGAGGAGAAGATTATGGATTTGAATGACCTCATTTCTGCCTAACAGTTGTGTGACTTTGAACAAGTTCCTCTTCCTCTTACTGCCTCCATTTTCTCATGTGTATACAAGAAATAGCAATACCCAACACTATAGGGTTGTTTTTATGGATTGCATGAGATAACATACTTAAAATACTCTGCCCACAGTGGACAAGTCTTGGAGTTGGCCAGTCTTGGAGTCGGCCAAGACTACCCTAGAGTCCAGATATACCTGGCGCAGTGGTATTTGCTGCCATGTAGGCTAAGGTGGGTCTGGGGTGCCCTCCAATGCAATTGTCTGTTGAGAGAAGTCTTGGAGCTGAGAGCGATCACAGATTAAAATTTTTCAAATAGGCCCAAGGAACTCCCAAACATTTTTAGATACCAGGTAAGAACCCTAACCCACACCCTCCCTCAGAACTTGGAATCTAGGCCATTCACACATTGATGGGAACAAAACAGGCAAGCGGGAACTAAATGGGAGACTCTTAAAGCACTGCCTCCTTACATCAAGGCCCTTGAAACACATTCAACAAAGCAGAAAGGAGCCATTGCTGGGTTTTAGTCCTAGGTCAAAGGCAGCTGTGGGTACCCAAACCCCTAAGGGTTGGGCTGATAAAGGGTGCTGGGCTGAAACAAAGTCCTTCTGCAGAATGCTGTTGAAGGCTAGAGATTTCAGCTTCATATAGCTACCCCAAATGCATGTGGTGGGATAGGGGCAAGTGGAGCACTAAAGGAGTATTTCAAACCCATTTGCTACATTTTATATTTAAAGAAAATGAACTATCTAGCCCTTTTCTTTCTCTTGTTCCTTCATCTACCTACTACATGCATTTCAGTAGATAAAATTTGAGTACACTTACTATTTTTTATGCCTCTTTTAAAAAGTATATGTTCTTTCTATATACCACAGCTTCAAATGAGAATTTTTGTTTTAGACATTAAATATTTATTACAGAACTTAGAGGCCTTTGTGGGAACCTCTCTCCAAAACCCCAAGTATTGGGAAAAGATTTCCCAAGTATTAAGGTTTAGTACAGAAACATACAATTGAAACCCCAGGAATATCCCTATTTAGGTTATGAATGACTTAGAAAAATGAAACCCACAGAGTAATTTTGTTTGCTTTCCCTTCATCCTTCATCAGAGCCCTTCAGGCTAGCTAGAAAATAATAATAATAATAATTCCAATGTTTCCACAAAAACTACTTTCCCAGAGAGCAATTTAGAAGAACGAGAACCGGCTGGGTGCGGTGGCTCACGCCTGCAATCCCAGCACTTTGGGAGGCCGAGGCGAGTGGATCACGAGGTCAGGAGATTGAGACCATGCTGGCTAATACGGTGAAACCCCATCTCTACTAAAAATACAGAAGATTGGCTGGGTGTGGTGGCGCGCACCTGCAGTCCCAGCTACCTGGGAGGCAGAGACAGGAGAATCACTTGAACCCGGAGGCGGAGGTTGCAGTGAGACAAGATGGTGCCACCACTGCACTCCAGCCTGGGCGACAGAGTGAGACTCTGTCTCGAAAAAAAAAAAAAAAAAAGAATGAGAAGCAAAGGAGTCCGTGACATGGGCCTCTGTTCAAACTATTATTGGGAGACTTCCATTCCAGCAAATCTCTGGTTTGGAACTGATAGTTGCCAAGAGCTGGAATGCTGACCATGAAGTCTGTCAGCAACAGGTCAGGGACCACAATGAACCAAGCATGGAGTTTCAGCTGAGCCAACCTGCAGTACTGTAGCAAAGCCTCAGGAAGGAGGGTGACTCTTTCCAGCAAGGCAGTACTTACTTCTCTGTTCTAGAAAACGCCCAGCATTCGCCTCGCATTTGGACCACCACACTTGCACCTATGAGTAGCCTGGGCTTCAAAGAATATTGACCCTAGGGAGGACAATGAAGGATGCAATTGATTGGGTTGTTCACTCTCAGATTTTGCCTACTCAGGCTGGGGGTGGACTCCAGGCCTCTTAGATTCCCTTCTAGTTCTAATGGCAGCTATCTGAAAAGAACTCTAAACCTCAGTTGCATGTAAAGACACCTGTTGGACTTCAGTGAGCCTGTGAACAAAAGCTACATAGACTTACAAGGAATGGCTTCCACGTCCACCCTTGACAAACATCTTACATGAGGTGAAGAATTAAGCAAAGATAACAAAGATAATTACATGGGGTGAAGAATTAAGCAAAGATAACAAAGGATAATTCCCTGTTCTCTGAATGTACTTGATTTGATACTTCTTTCAAGACCAGATCTGAATTTTTAAAGAATGATTTCAAGCGACATTTGATGGCAGCAAGCATTCAAAAATCTGTGTGTGTGTGTGTGTGTGTGTGTGTGTGCATGTGTGTGTGTCTGTTCCCTTTTGGCATTGCCTGCTCCCAGCCTGCAGTTCAGCATCTCTAACAAAAGCTCTGTAAGCAGAGTGTGCAAGGACAAGACAGGAGACCAATGAGAAGAATATGTTTTTTCCAACGTTAGCCTTCTCAAGCCTAAGAATGGCCCCTTGGGGGGTTCTAAACCCCCATTTTAGAAACACTAGGAATAATGTTCCTTGTTATCCTTTTGTTTTGCTTAATACCTACTCCCAAATTCTCAGGTGTCAGAATCCTGAAAGCAAATGCTGGAGCTAAGGAAAATACTTATTGATTGATTGATTGATTTTTAAGGAAAGGGGATTCTAATTGGAACTGAAGGCTTCCTTTTTAAATCCACAAAGCTGGATGGATTTCCTAAAAGCTCTTGCCCAGCTTGGTAGGAGAGATGGGTGATGGAGCCCCAGACACCTCCCTGGCTAGGCTCACTTTACCCTGTTTAGGAATTCACACTGTAACACTGAGGCACACAGCCGTTCCCAGTCTTTGGGGGCAGCATATGAGCTTAGGGTCAAACCCATACTTTGTGCTATCTCCTTGGCCCTGCCTGGAGAGTCATGTGGCAGGGCTACCTTAACACCTCAATAATCCCTCAGACACTCAATTCCACCTTTACTGGAAATAGTGTTATAAGGTGACTCCTTTCAGTTTTTTAATTGTTGACAAGTTCAAAGAGATATTTTATTCTCTGCTGCCCCTGCTTTGGTGCAGCCTGTGCTCCTTCCTTGTGGCTTCTGGGAGTCCTGCTTTTTGCTTACTATTTCTGACCTCTCTTTCTCCACCAGGTGAAGGGCAATGAACCAAGTGCAAAGACACACCCTCAGCCCAATCAGTCAAAAGGTGGCCACTTCGCTTCTAAGTACTTTTGCCTTTAGATACCTTATATCCAATAAAAGTAGCTTCCTGGAATTTGAACTTTCTCACCAGCCCATCCTGCCCCCAATCCCAGCCTAACAGGCTTATGCGGACTGTGAAAATGGGCCTTCTCCTGCCAGCAGTGGGTGTCCCGGGCACTGAGCTTGCCATCTGGTACTAGTGTCTTGACCCTGCAGAACCATTTGGCTTGCAGAAGGCCAAGGTGTGTCGGGTGGATGAGGTAGGGAGGGAAGCAACCCCTCCTTGCTTGTCACAGTAAAGGGCAGCAGAGGCAGCTACACCAAACCACTCCTGTGCAAATACCCAGCAAGGATCATCCCAGGAATGGCAGGCTCTCCTGAATGCTTCCAGGCTAGGAGCCCAGCCCACCAACAGTCTGGTTTGGGATCAGTCACCGGGACTGAAGTTTACCTTCCTACATGTCATTTATTCACACTGTCCTTTCACCTCCCTGATCCCCACATTCCCCATGGCCACCCTCTCCCCTCGGCCTTTCCCTCTCTGTGGATATCCCCTGCAGAAGGCTCAAGTCCCCGAGGTTCTCAGTCTGTGCTAACAGTAGAGGGACATCCTGCTGCGGCGCATGGCCTCGCTGATCAGGTAGGCAGGGCTCAGCTCCGGCTCCTCGGTCATGATGGCAATGTTCTGCCACTCCCCCGTCTGGCTGGACCTCTTGATGGTGTCCACCACGCACAAGGCATACAGGCAGTCGTCGAAGGTGGCGGCCATGGTGAGGGGCCGCCCGTCCCACGTGCGCCGGTCGTCCTGGTCCTGGAAGGCCTGGCGCACCGCCTGCATCATCTTGATGGTGCCGCGCAGGTAGGGCGAGGGGATGTCGCTGAAGGCCTTCTCCGGAAGCAGGGAGTTGCTTACCGGTGTAGCGTCCTGCACCAGCAGCTCCTGCTCCGGGGCACTGTTGCGCTGCCCGTACAGGTCGGTGCCCACGGCCAGCAGGCGCCCGGCGGAGCCCACCACAGTGACATCCTGCTTGAACTCGCCGGGCACGTTGAAGTTGAGGGTGACGGTGCAGCACACCCCGCCCTCCAGCACCATCTGGAAGGTGCAGAAGTCGTCGCTGGTGATCTGGCGGATGCCCTTGATGTGGTCAGTCTGCTTCACGAAGGTCTTGAGCAGCCCGTGGACCTTGACGGCCTTCTGGCCGGTGAGGAAGGTGAGCAGGTCGATGATGTAGGTGCCCACGGAGTGCAGGCCACCGCCGCCCATCAGGTCGTCGCAGCTCCAGTTGTACTTCTTGCCCAGCAGGCTGCCGCCGTGCACCTGCACCTCGCACACCAGCGGCTCGCCCACGTAGCCCTCCTCGATCAGCTGCTTCATGCGCACGAAAGCCGGCAGGAAGCGCAGCACGTTGCCCATGATGCTCATGAGCTTGGGATAGTAGTGGGCGGCTGAGGTCATGCGGAAGGCGTCCAGCGGCGTGGCCGTGCGGTCGCATATGACGTTCTTGCCGATGCCTGCGGGTGGGAGGAAAACAGCGGTCAGCGGGGCGGGACCATGTCTGAGCGCGCATCCCTGGGTCAGATCTTAAAATATTTCACATTAATAGAAAAAGAAGGCCAGTTGTGGTGGCTCATGCCTGTTGTCCCAGCACTTTGGGAGGCCAAGGCCGGAGGAGGCCTTGAGCCCAGGAGTTGGAGGCCAGCTTGGGTAACACAGAGAGATCCTGTCTCAATAATAATAATGATGATGATGATGATGATGATAATAATAATAATAATAATAATGAGCCGGGCTGGTGGTGCATGCCTGTGGTCCCAGCGACTCAGGAGGCTAAGATGGGAGGATCACTAGAGCCCAGGAGGTCGAGGCTGCAGTGAGCTATGTTCTGACCACTGCACTCCAGCCTGGGGACAGCAAGACTCTGTCTCAAAAACTAAAAAATAATGAAAATAAAAAGAAGATAGTCTATATATTTCAATATTACTTTAAATATTTCAATATTACTTTAAATATTTATGTTGCATTACTTAATTTGTTTTTTTGTTTGTTTTTGAGACAGAATCTCACTGTTCCCCAGGCTGCATTGCAGTAGTGCGATCATAGCTAACTGCAGTCTCAAACCTCTGGGCTCAAGCAATCCTCCTGTCTCAGCCTCCTGAGTAGCTAAGACAGTAGGTGCTACCATACCCAGCTAAACTTTTTTTTTGAGATGGAGTGTCACCGTATCACCCAGGCTGGAGTGCAATGGCACCATCTTGGCTCACTGCAACTTCCGCCTCCTGGGTTCAAACGATTCTCCTGCCTCAGCCTCCTGAGTAGCTGGGATTACAGGCGCCTGACACCATGCCCAGTTAATTTTTGTATTTTTAGTAGAGGCGGGTTTCACCATGTTGGCCAGGCTAGTCTCAAACTTCTGACCTCATGATCCGCCCACCTCAGCCTCCCAAAGTTCTGGGATTACAGGCGTGAGCCACCATGCTCAGCTTTTTTTTTTTTTTTTTTTAAAAGGGAGGGGGTCTCCAATTTTTTTTTTTTTAAGAGACAGGGGTCTCCTTATATTGCTCAGGTTGGTCTCAAATTCCTGGTCTTAAGTGGTCCCCTACCCCCTAAATCCCCAAAGTGCTGGGATTACAGGTGTCCTGGTCCCAAAAGGCCATGAATTACTTAATTTTAATGTTAAACGTCTGATATTGATTTAAATAGTAAGATTTATTTTAAGATATTTAAGTAATCTATATTTTAGAAATGTTTAACAATATTTGCTAAGGTAGTATAAAATGCTTCATTTTATAGTTTATGTATATAAATCTATAACATTTTAAACAGAAATAGATTTTGCTTTTATATTATTTAAATACAAAATATAAGATAGTACTATTAAAGTATATGATATAATCTTTTTACATATAAAATATATCATTACAGTTATCTTATATATAAAATGTTTTTATATGTTGTATTTTATATTTAAAATATCATTTTTAGTAAAAATATATTATTATTAAAAATCACGTAGTGAAAGGAGAAGAGTATCTGTATTTGGAAGAATCAGAATACATAAGCTTAAATCCTAGCCAAGGTGAGTCTAATTAAGTGTGAAGAATTTCTTAATGATACCCTTTGAAGGTCTAAGCTTTTGGCTGACATCTTCCCCTCTCTGCCCCGGACGATTCCCCAGGATTGTATTTTGAGCATTATCGTGCTTGTTTATTTTGCATTCCGGATTAGGGCTGGCAGTGGTCACAGATGTGTTTGTTTAAAGTTTTTCTTTTCCTATAAAGAGCGGATATTACCTAAATCTGAGGAGTTGGCAGTGCCTGTTTCCTCCCCGACCCCCATCTGCTTCAGGGTGGGGTGTGTTGCTTTTGGCCAGTGGAGGTCAGGCCAAATAAGAATTACTCTTACGTGATGACTGTAATGTGTGTATAAATTACAGGGAGACCAAAGTGCCTCTCTGAACCCTTTAGGAGACTAAGTGGTTCTGGGTCTGGGGAAAACAAAGGATCAAAGGAAAGGAGAGTGACAGGGAAATGAGAAAGAGATTTATTCCATGGAAGCCGAGAGTCAAGGAAGAAGAAAAACAACTCGGCTAGACCTGGAGAAACGGCCAACTTGAGGGCAAAAAAAAAAAAAATGACACAGATTTCTTAGCAAGTCAGATAAAATAGACGCTAGGCGAAAAGACTTGGGAGTCAAAGCACCTGTCCTGGGGCAGGTCTCTGTGGTCTAGGCACGCTCACCCATAGACCCTCTAAAGGAGACCTGGGCACTCCAGTCACAGATGTGGGAGAGACTTCAAGAGAAATGGGGTGATGAGACACACCCCACCCTATCCCACTTGTCCTAACTACAGCCACTCAGTTGCCAAAATCCACGAACCCTTACAACATGCTGAGGTAAGATGGGGTTTTGTAGAAGTTGTGGGATTGCAGATGTCTGTCCAGGGCCACGGCCTGGCACATGGCTTTCTCATTTTCCCACTGGAAGAGCTAGCCACATCCTAGAAATGGTCAGTGCAGATTGGAGAAAGGAAATACAAACGATGGCTGTCAGTTTCCATGTGCACATCCAGTTCTGGCCCTAGGCGAAAAGCCTGGAGCCTACAGAATGATCACACCTCCTTGCCTTTTCTTCTATGTTGGCAAAGCTGGGCTGGTCCCCTTAATGGGCATGAAATAGCAGTGAGAAGCTCTTTTAATGCTTAGCAACCGGGTGAGGACTGAGGCTCCGGCAGAGAGATGAGATAACATTGGTTTGTATCACCAAAAGTGTCACACACCCGTGTAACACTATGTTCTGACAACATGATCCTGTAGGCATGAAGCTCATCTAAAACCAGCTCATGCTACCAGGAACAGATTTATATGTAAATGGAGTGGTAGGTCACTGCAGGGACAGGTGACAAATACTGCCAAAATCTGCCTCCCAGCCATTGGTATAGGCTCTGGCCTCTGCTACACTCTACCTCAAGGTCCCCAAAAGCAGGACCCTGACTGCCATCTCCTCAGTATACGCTATTGGTCATATTAATGGTACTTAAGAAAAGTTTTTTATTTTTTTATATTATAAAAACTATAAAATAAAATAACAAAAGAAGAAAAGAATAATTAGAGATAAATGATCCACACCTCTTCCCTACACACCCAAAATAATGATTGCATGGAATTCTTTGCAGCTCCATAGATAAAAAGATTCTGATGAAAGCTTCAGAAAATGTAACATGAACATGACATGATACACAAAAATGCAACTCCATCCCTGGACTCCCGTGTGGATTCCCCAGGGATCTGAGATACAGACGTCTCTTTAGGCTATTTATTAGGTTGGTGCAAAAGTAATTGCGGTTTTGCCATTAAAAGTTATTGTGGTGTCCTCTTTTTAATGGTAAAACCGCAATTACTTTTGCAGCAACCTAATACATATGATACGGCTCCACATTATATAGTAAGGTCCTCGAGATAAGGGCTGGGTCTTTTAATGCTTAAGTCTCCATTAATACCCACAGCACCTTGTGGTGCATCCAATGTGCAGGAGGAACCCAGCAAACCTTGTTGCCTGCCCCACCTCTTTGCCCATAGTCTTTTGCAACATTCACACTTTACAGACGGGTCTCAGCAACATCTTAACACACAGCATCTTCAAAAGTCAAACGAGACTTCTAGGAATTTATCATAAAGAAATAATCCAATATGCAAGCATGGCATCTTGCCCAAAGATAGTTTTGACTGCATTATTTATTATAGCAAAAAACTGGGAACAGAGGCTGGATGCAGTGGCTTCACGTCCATAATTCCAGAGTTTTGGGAAGATCACTTGAGGCCAGGAGTTTGAGACCAGTCTGGGCAACAGAGCAAGATCACATTTCTTAAAAAAAGCCAGGTGTGGTGGTGCATGCCTGTAGTCCCAGCTACTCAGGAGGCTGAGGTGGGAGGATCACTTAAGCCCAGGAGTTAAAGGCTACAGTGAGCTATGATTGGGTCACTGCACTCCAGCCTAGGTGACAGTGAGACCTTGTCTCAAAACAAAAAACAAAACAACTGTGAACAACACAAATACACAACAGAAAAAGGGGTAAGTCAACTGTCATGCAGCCATATAATAGAATATTGTGCAAACATAGAAAATGATGCTTATGAAGACCTTTCAATGGCAAGTAAGATGATTATGATGTAATGTTAAATGAAAAGGGCTCTATTCATAGACATATATGATCTCAACTCTCTCTAAAATGACAAAAGGAAAAGAAAAACCCTAGGAGGTTAACTGATTAGTAGGAGTGGTTGGATTAGTAGGATTATGATTGATTTCATTTTCTTCACCATATTTTTCCACATTTTCTAAATTTGGCATTTTATGGTCAGAAAAAAATGTTAATTTAAAAAATCCACAAAGAGACAGGAAGATCTTTGAAGGACAGCACTCACAATAATGGGAAAAGGGTTCTCCAAAGTCTAGGGGAGTTGGCAGGTCCCAGCTCTCATGGACCCATCCCAGTTCCTTAGCCCCGAAGAGCTGGTAGAAGGCTCTGCTGACCCTGAGAGCTTCAGAGGTCTGGGCTCTGTTGCCAGGTCTTGTTGCTCCATTTGCTCAAGACCTCTTTATGATTCTTAGTGAAAGCTGTGGAGTCTCTCTCTGAAACATGCAACTCAGACAGATGCACAAAACTCCGCCACAACCTGAAGCCCATGCACGGATCCCCTCCGGTTCTGAGACCCAGGCATCATCGTACACTGCACAGTAACTTCTTAAAGCCTTTGGCACATATTAAGATATGTGGCACAAAAATAAGATAATCCTTCCAGTTCCAAAAGGAACTCAAAATGCAGAGCCCAGGCCTCTGAAGCTTTCAAGGTTCAGGGTCAGCAGAGCCTTCTACCAGCTCTCCGGGGCTCAGGAACTGACTGGGATGGGCCCATGAGAGCTGGAACCTGCCAGCTCCCCTAGACTTTGGAGAACCCTTTTCCCATTATTGTGAGTGCTGTCCTTCAAAGATCTTCCTGTCTCTTTGTGGATT